AAAGAGTGTAGACATAAAGTAGAGGACTGTGAGAAGGACAAAAGAAAACAGGTTAGAGAAAAATAACAGATAACGAAAGAAATAGAGAAAGTAATAGAGAAGGTGGGAGGAAAAGAAAAAAAAACAGGAAGAAAATATGATGCAGATTAGCAGAAAAAACTGAGATAGAGAGAAGAATAGTTCAAGGTAGGTGTGAGTGGGGAATATATATATAATTGCATCAAAATTGGATTTCTAGGTCGCATAATGGTTATAATCATGGAAAATGAGTTCAAATTCTACCCTTGAGAAAGGCATGATTCCATTAAAACTTGGAGAAAATCACTAAGCTATTTTTCTAAAATACATAGCAATTTTTTTTTATTTTTAATCATTTCATCCCAAGCTAGGCAATAATGCCACTAAGATGTAATATTGTACTAGATTGGTGGCAAGGTTTCATCATTTTACAATTGAAATGGCTATATATAACTTTAAATTCTATGCTAACAGTTTCTTCTCTCACACTTCTCACTTAGGGAATACTTATCCACCTTCTTACTTCCCAGACAACTTTGATCTTCAAAGAATTAAATGCAATGTCAATCATTGTCTTCTTTATTCCTGTTCTTTTATTGTTCTCTCTCCTTAATAGTGTCTTTTTTCTCCTATTCTCTCTCACTCAGTATCCTTGTATCTTAGAAGCTTTATTGCCTTACCTGGGATAAAATGACTGAGGGTTACTAAGAGGGAAAGAAAACTACTATTACTTCTTCTTGCTGTGTTCTTTGAGGATGGAGGAGAATATGGCTCTCCACAATTTCCTGTACTTTATAATAAATTTTGTCTTTTGCTCTCTCTCTCCTAAAACTTGCTCTATCATCCATTTACTCAAGCTGGCTATGTTATGTGTTGTTTTCCTCTGTCGCTTTTGCCTCCATGTGAGTATCAAATTTTCCAAGTCCACTTTTCTCATTACATGCCCTAGAAATGTCATGCCCTTTTTCTGATGTTAAGCATAAGTGTCCTTTTTGTTTTCATTTTCTCAAAAACTTTGTTGTTGCTCACCTGTTCAATCCATGCTATTCACAGCATCATTCTGTAAAAGCACATTTCGGTTGCATCAAGTAACTTCAAGTTGCATCTATCTAGTCCAACAGTAAAATGGTGAAGCCTAGTTGCCAATTAACAGATATTTGAGAAAAGGAATCTGCAGGGTGCCATTATTATACATGTATTTAAAAAGCAGAAGTTCACAGCCTTATGCTGGAAAAAAGCCCTCATTTTATCCAATAAATATTTATTTCTGACATGATTACCTTGTTTTCCAAAGTATTTCATTCTATGGCAAATATTAACAATATAGACTAAAAATTATACAATGAAAATTTCATATTAAAAATTATCTAATAACTCCATGTAAGACAGTACTTTCCTCTTGTCTTTCAATATGTCCTGTGAGTGTTAAATTCTCCAAGTCTTCCTTCCTCATTCAGAATTTTAATTATCTCTTTCTGATTCTAAGTATATGTCCTTTTTGTTTCTATTTTCCATAAAACTTGACCATTTCTTACATGTTCAATCCATGGCATTCTCAGCATCCTTCTGTATTTCTGTTGCAGTCATTTCTTCATGTGTGAGGAGATTGTCCAACATTCACTGCCATATAGGAAGACTGACATTACATAACAGTTACATACTCTTTTCTTACAATATCTATTTTTATTAGTAATATTTACAATAGCTTATTTGGTGGTGTGAGATTTTATTATAGAAGCTGTGTGTAATTCACTATGTTGTAAATAAATAAATATATATAAGTGCACAGATATTGACATTTATCCTTTTTTTTTTTAATTTCAAATATATAAAGATTGTCATGGTTTGTGAGAATGATATAAATTCAAAATAGATGATTCTTTAAAGATATTGAGTGATGGGAACCCAATGTCATAAAAAAACTTGAGCAGAGATCATCAAAAAATAAATTGAAAATATTGATAAGATAAAAGCAATGTCTTTAAGAATGTCACAGAAAAAGAGATTTGAGAAAAAAAAATTCGAAATGTTTATAAGCTATAAAAAGAAATTGTCTGAATAACATAAACTGAAATAAAAGATGCAGAATATTAAGCATTTTGGTTAGAAACATGAAAGTAATCAGTTTACCATATTTTCTTCTTTTGTTTTTTTTACTAATGTTCACCGAATACAAGGCTCAAGAGTCATCAAAGTAGAGTGTTACTGTATGGAGTTCTATTAGCATAAGAAAGGGTAAGATAACAAGAAAGTAAGATGGCTAATTCTAGACTTGAAGATTTAATTAATGAATAAAATTTCAAAGATCAGGTGGAAACATTAGGAGTATATAGACTTTAGAAGGAACTGGAAACCCATTCCTAAACAAGAAACAAGGGATGAACATTGACTCCTGTTCAAAAGACTGGGGAGAAGTGAGAACTGGATGACAGGCAAGCCTATTGGGAGAGGGAAAAAAATAGTAATTACTGAATAAAATTTC